TGGCTCCGAGCTTTGTTTCGGATCCCAGATATGTGGGGCCGGAGTCATCTCTTTGATTCTTGATTTTTTGTGCTGCGTAGTATTGCTCTCCCAGGAGCTGCGTGCCTTTTGAGATTCACGCCTGCTACCTCCTGACCGGGGACCCCAAGGAAATAGATTTGGTTTTGGGTAAGCGAGAAGAGAATGTTAGAAAAATACTGTTAAGTGATGCGGGTTTGGCAGGTGCACACAGGCCACGCGTGTAAAAGAACTGCCGAGTTGCACGCTCGAGATTGTGTTTTTGTGTTCCTTTTTTTTTAGAATGAGGGATCGATAGTGCCTAAGCTTTTGTTTTTTGATAAGTTGAAAAACCCAAGTGAAAGGCCGGTTTTCATCTGGCTGAAAATTTGTATGCAGATATGTAGAAATATTCCTGGTGATACAGAATTCAGTGATGTATTAACCGGGAGATTTGAGCATTCCCAGTCTTTCGTGTGACGCATTTATTAACGACCCGGTTGAAGCTTTCTAGGTCCATTAAAGAATTGAGTGATAATTATTTTCAATAATGGGATGCAGAAAGAATAGAAGCAATTTCAGGTGATTTCTAAAAATGGAATCAAATGCAATTTCCCAAGGAATGAGGATTTTTTTGTTTTTGAAGATTTTAAGTTCTTGTTTATGGAACTAATTATTTGAATCTTCAATACTGCTGCTGTTTGTGGGCCAGTCATTTTTTTATAAAAACAGGGTCTCACTGTGTAGTTATGGCCTTGAACTCACTGTGATCCTCCTGCCTCAGCCTCCTGAGTGCTGGTATTACAAATGGACACCACCATGCCTGGCTAGTAAGTTTTTAAACCTGTAAAAACTAATACGACTTCTCTTACTGGATTTACCAATCCTTTCCCTTGCAGTCCCATCCCTCCTTCATAATTTTGTTTTGTGTTTTGAGACAGGGTCTCTTGAACTCACAGTGATCCTCCTGCCTCAGCCTCCCAAGTCCTGGGATTACAGGCATGCTCCACCGTGCTTGGCCACCTCCATAGTCTGAACATGTTTGTTGAATTTATGAGTCTGAAGAGTTCTGTAAGGTGCCTTCATTATACCACCCTCTGCAACCTAAGTAAAGCCACACCTGAGGACCCATCATCAACCTGACCTTTTTTTATTACTAGTGCATATTTGCAGTATACCCCACCCTGATGTTGCTATGCTTCCTTATTAGCCATCATACTTGTCCAGACCCCACCTTTACATCTCTGTACAGAATTCATTGTCATTTTGAATGCCTCCTTTCTCTTACTTTCCATGTTCCATTTGTAGTTCCTCAAGCAGCATAGAAATCATCACTGCCATACTACCAGACTTAACATTTCTCTTTGTCTTGATCCTTGAATGAATGAAATTTCCTAGGTGTTTCTTGGACATCTGGGACCTCATTGTCCATGAACCCTAGGTTTAGATATTTTAGAAATTAATGTAGCTGAGTAAACCTAGTTTGAGAAAACATGTAAAAGATATAGGCATAGATTTACTTGTTTTTGGCTTCTTGCAGTAACTTGTAGCTTTCACTTGGGATAGTTATCTAGAAAGAGAAATAACTATGTAGCCTGATAACAGTGGTCAGAAGCTGTAGCCCTAGGCACTCAGGAGGCTGAGTCAGGAGGGTCTCGTGAGTCTGGTAGTTGTGAGCCAGCCTACATAACAGTGATAACTGCTTCTCAAAAAAATAGCAGCGTGGGCCAGGGATTTTTAGCTCAGTATTTCTGCCTCCTGCCTCTCAAGTACATGGTCTCCCTAGTTCGATTTCCAGTGCCACCCCCGCCCCCCAAAAAAAACAACAGGACAAAAACCTACAGGTTAACCTGTAGATCTTAATGTTTGACATTGTTTTTTCTATTGTAGGTACCAACATGACTTTTTCTTCAGTGTCTCAATACATAGTTCAGGCTGGCCTCAGACTCAGGGATCCTCCAGCCTCAGCCTCCTGAGTGCTGGGACAATAGGTGTGTGCCACCAGACCCAACATGGTTTCTTTTTTTTTTTTTTTTTTTTTCCAACATGGTTTCTTAAAGAAAGACTCTCTTTGTAGAGGAGTAATTGTGAAATCTTTATTGTAGACTTGGAGCTCTCTGAGAGAGGGACCCTATTCACCCAGTGCCTTCCCACTGAGCTACATCCTTAGCCCACTTAAATGTTTTTATCTTGAGACAAGGTCTCCTTAAATTACCCAGGCTGGGATCAGACTTGGGATTCTCCTGACTAAGCTTCCCAGAGTGTTGGGATACCAGATGTGGGCCACCTTACCAATCCGCTAAACCTTTTTGAAGAAAAACCAAGGTAATGTTGTATTCTAGTGTTTGTTTCTTCCAAAAACATCACACCTCCATTTCTGAGTTTGGGTAAGGCTGTTTTCTACATTTAGGACATAATCCTTTTTGAATAGGGTCTGGTACCCCTATCCCCACCCCTACTGGAGATTGAACCAAGCCTTCAGCACTGAGCTACACCCACTTTTTTTTTTTTTTTTTTTTTTTTTAAAAATCTGTAAGCTGCCTACTGCCTCTCCCAAGTGTGTGCCACCAGGCCCAGCTAGGGATCTTTGTTCTTTTGCTACTGGGGATCGAACTCTGGTCCTTGTGCTTGTGAAGCAGGTGCTAGAACCACTGAGCTAAATCCCTGGCCCTAGGGATCTTTGTTCTTGATTGCCAAAAACCAAGTACATATGCTTGGTTATTTCTGTCATAATGCCTCTCAAAATTCTCATTGTGTTTTACCTCTGCAGTTCAAGAATACCTTTGCTGAAAAACTGTATTATGCTGCCACCACCAGGCAGTTTTTTATTAGGGGAATGCTATGAAATAGATTTTTTTCTAGTTAACTTGAGTGTGTGGTACAACAGTTTAATGTTTAAAGAAAAGTTGTAATTTGCAAACAGGTTTTGAATTTCATTATTTTGGAGGGCTTTTTGTTTCTTTTCTACTGATAATTCAGGCTGGCCTCAAACTCTGAACAGTCTTCCTCCCTCAGCCTCCTGAGTGCTGGGATTATAGGTATGTGCCACCATGCCCATGAAAATTTTAATTTAGACTGGTTTATTGAGTGTTTTTATAATGGTGGATGTTCTTTTGCTTTTTTGTTGTTTTGTTTGTTTTGGTACTGGGGATGAAACTGGGTCCTTGTGCTTGCGAGGCAGGCAGATGTTCTTTTGATATAAATAATACACAATTCTAAGCATTTTTATTTCTTAATTAATTTTTATTTTATTTATTTTATTTTATTTTTTTAATTTATTTTGCTTTTTTGAGACAGGGTCTCACTATGTAGTTGAGACTGACCTGGAACTCACTATGTAGCCCAGGCTGGTCTCCAACTCACAGCAATCCTCCTACCTCAGCCTCCTGAGTACTGGGATTACAGGTGTGTGCTACCACGCCCAGCTTTTTAAATTTTTAAATGTGTGTGTGTGTGTGTGTGTGTGTGTGTGTATTTTGGCATCAGGAATTGAACTCGCGTCCTTGCGCTTACAAGGCAAGCCATGGAACCGCTGAGCTAAATCCCCGGCCTTAAATTTTTATTTATTTTTGTGGTACTGCGAGTTTAACTCAGGCAGTACTGAGCCATCAGATACCATCATTTTGAGACAGGCTCTTACTCTGTAGTTCAAGCCAGCCTTGAACTTGCTGTATATCCCAGAGGGGTCTCTTAACTAGACTTCTGCCTCTGCCTCCTGCTGAGCGCTGAGATTACAGGCTAAGCCACCTAGCCAAGGTCTTTGTCTTTTTAGCCCCATCCCACCCCCTGTTATTTTCTGGAACTGAAAATTGAACCCAGAGCTTTTCCACTGAGCTACAAAAGCCACCCAGATTTTTGTATTTTGAGGTAGGCTTTGGAGTTTAAACTGGGCTGGGCTCAGATTTGGAGCCCTTTGCCTCAGCAGCCTTCTAAGCATGTGCCACAATTTCTGCACTCCCCCTATTTTTTTCTTTGAAGTTGATCTTGAACTCCTGAACTCAAGCCGTTTTGCCTCAGCCTCCTGAGAAGCTGGGACTACAGCCACATTCTAGCATGTCTTGACTTTTATTTCATGGACGTACAGTCTTGCAGTGCAGTTCAACCTGGTCTTGAACTTGGTACATAGCTCGACCTGGCCTTGAATTTAAGATTCTCCTGCTTAAATTGAATGTTAGGATTACAGGTATGTTTTTTGATGAGTTATGAAGGCAAAATACACTGAGCTCACACTGAAAGTTACCTGCTCTGGAAAAGAATTAATTTGCTTGTGACACCTAAGTGACTTCTACATTATATATTAAGTGTACAGAACTGATAGAGTAGAATAAAACATGGACTTTCCCCATGCAGGGTTTCCAGTCTAGTTTGAGAAGCAGGGTGCCTACACTTACCAAATTAATGTCATGTAAGAACTGTCACAGTGGGTGAAATGATTCACTGCCACATTGGGTAAGATTTCATGATTTTTAGAAATCCCCAGGGAGGGTGTCAGGCTGCCTCCAAGCACTGTGAGGATGGTGGTTACTTTGCATTCTTACAAGCTACTTATTGTGGTTTGTCACTCTCTGTGACAGTGACTGCTGGGTTTCCGAGAGGTGCACCCATAGGGGGATTCTTATAAATTGCCTTTACTGCCAGAACAGTGCTTGGGGTCAGTCCTCTCAGTGAAGGAACTTCAAAAAATCACAGCAGGGAAGCTCACCTGGGTAGTGACATCAAGGTGATTTTGGATTGTGGTTTTATTTTTCATTTTTTGGTGGTAGGATTTTAAAAGTGGAAGTAGTGGGCTGGGGATTTAGCTCAGTGGTTCCGCCGCCTGCCTCGCAAGCACAAGGATCCAAGTTTGATCCCTGGTACCAAAAAAAAATGGAAGTACTTACTTTTGGTTGGGGGTAGTGCAGATTGAACTCAGGTCCTTGTACTTGCAAGGCAGGCAGTGGAACCACTAAGCTAAATCACCAGCTCAGAAGTATTTACTTTTGTGGTTTGTGTTGGGAGAAATCTTGGAAGTGGGTTGCCTTTATTCTGCTGCTTATGTATTATGAGTAACGGTAATGTTACAATCTTAGGCTTAATTTAATGTGTTGGCAAGGTGTTTCCCTGGAGACTGCTCGTGATTTGGGTATAGGCAGATAAAACAAACCAAAAACTCAGTCTTACCACTAGACTTT